AAGTGTGGCCCCCAGACCAGCAACATCAGATTCACCTGGAAACTTGTTAGAAATGCAGATTATCAGGTCCACCACAGACCTACTGAGTCAGAAACTCTGGGAATGGGGCCTGGCATTCTGTGTTTAATTATCCCACAAGGTGATTCTGATAACACAAGAGAATTTGAGAACCTCTGATCTAAAGATAGCTTTTTTTCACAAACTCTTTGGAAGAATAGAAAAAGCACATTTTCAATTCATTTATCAAGTTACGTTATCCTTGAAATGAAACCTGATAATACAAAAAATATTGCCACCCAATTTCATTCATGTACTTAGATACAAATAGGCTAAACAGAATTTTATCAATATAGCTAAATTGGGATTTATTCCAGGAATGCAACAATGCAGGAAATGTGCAAAAGATTTGAACAAACAGTTCATTCCTACATTAGAAAATCAATGTAATTTGTCATACTAATAGTGTGTTTGTGAAGTCATGAAACAGAATAAGCATCTTTTCAAACAGTGTATTACCTCAACATTCAAATAATATTCTCACTATCCCATCAGGCAAAGTACCTCCAAATTTGAAGTAATGATTCTAATTCCTAATCTGAAAAAAAGTATAATAAACTACAGAAAGTCCAGCAAATCTGGAAATACCTGGATTTTCACAAAGCACTTTTGAATAGTCAAAATCTTCAAGCTATGAAGGAATGAATCCCTAAATGGAATTTCAGTCTCTCTATCATAAAGTGTGGGTAAAATGAAAAAAATATTCACTAGATGGGGGGGCCAGAAGAGTTAGTGTAGTGCCTTCTTCCAGGCCATTTTTAATGATTTACAGTTCTAATCCACCAACATTTTGATCTACCATTATTGTCGTAGTAATACAAAGCAGCTCTATGACTTAGAAAGGAAAAAGGACTTCTCCCTGCTACAAAGTATATTACGGACTTGGAAACAGATAAAATCCCTTCGCCAATGGCAGGGGTTTACAAGCACTTCAATAAAGTTACAGTTTCAGAGGTGAGTGGCTGCTCTATTTGTTCTTATAGGTTTCCTGAGGAACTGCCCATAAATAACTGGGAATTCATGGTAACTGGGAGAAAATGCAGAAGCTAGGCAGCTACTTGATGTGGTCAACAAAGGATTTGTATCTTGCATATATAAATAATTCTTACAACTTAATTTAACAATTCAAGCAATGAGCAAAAGATTTGAACAGACACTTCACCAAAGAAGGTATATGGATGGCAGTGAACACATGGTAAGATGCTCAACATCAGTTTATGTTTACAGAAAAAAGTTGTGGGGAAGTTGGGGTTCCTATGGCCAGGATCCTCACTGAACTTAAACCACCTGATGATGCAACTGGCCTGTTGTTAGGCAACCGCTTCCACACCTTTAGGCAATAAGCTATTATTGCACTATATGCACAGCTCAGGCCAATGCTCTGGGTGGAGGTAGAGACACTAGTGCTAGACCTACTGCTGGAGAACAAGCCGGGTAATAAACCCTTTCACCCCAAAGAACGTTTTGCTATCAGTTTCTTTGGTCACATAGAATCCATAGCGAACTTGCCCAGGGCTGAAACCCATCAGCAAGACAATTGGCAAAGTTGGCACGGTTCATTGTTGACCAAGGAGAAAGACAGGCTGCCCTTATGTGAGGGGTGCTTCAGCAGGCTGCCCCTGTGAATGGTGAGACAGTG